CCATGGCGCCTTGGTTTCGCAGCCCGTTTGCTGTGAGCGTGGAATGCCCTTTTAAGATATGGCGGCCTTCGTTTCGTGGACGTTTCTGCGCATGTGTACCGACTCAAGCTTAGCAAATATTTCAGACATCCGCCAGAAGACGGTCGTGGAGCTGTTTCTAAAAGTGCACATGCTCTGTGCGGCTCAAAGGGCACGTCTCATCCTAACTCCGGATTGGTCCATGAGCACATTTATTCCTTTGCGCATGCGTCCCTGCCTCTGACCCGGAAGTTTTTGCTTCACTTAAAAGCGCCGGCCCGCTGCGCGCGGCCTCTTCCTGTCTGTGCTAGGACGGCGCGTGGTCCACGCCGAGCGACCGAGAAGCCCGGTCTGCGCCCTCAGGTGAGGCTGCGAGGGGACCGGAGTTCCGAAGAGACGGCCTTGTGTGTTCTGAGGGACATTTGGGGACCCGCAGGCGGGACCCGAGGCTTGGGCCTTCCCGTTTGGACCTCACCTCTTCCCCCATCGGAAAAGTGTCCAGGAAACTCGCGCGGGCCGGGTTACTCCTCGCCTCCAGTTTGTACAGTATTGACCCCGAACTTTTCGAACTTTTAACACTCGGGGCCCTAGGGGAATTACTTGGATTCTAGAATTATATAGCAACCCGAAATCTAGTTTCGCGATGATCCTTTTGCTCGGTGCACATTTTTTTTCTCGATAATAGCCTTTAGCTTCTCCACAGAGTTAGACAAGGATTGAAACATTGGTACTGATTATTTCTTGGGGTTCATACTGTGGTCCTTATTCCTTTATTTTACTGATGAAACTCTGAAAGCATTTCGTTGCTTTATAAATGTACGGGATAGGTGCCGGTAGGTACCTGCATGGCTTCTTGAGCTATCCAACTGGATTCCGTGTACCAGCTGTTTAGCTTGGTGACTGTCGCGACTTAGACCTTGGGTTCCGGAGTAAAGAGCAGGTTCTTCCTACAACTCAGTGGTTTTCCTAGGTTTGGAGAGATGGTCAAAGCTTTCTGGGTCCCATTTTAACTTCTCAGTTTTCCACAAAGTGGCGATTACTCTCACCAGCTGGCGGGAATGTGACTGTTATAGGACGGCCGAGCAGTAACGGTTTCTTGTCATTATCCTGTCCCCAGAATGACTGAGTGGGAGACAGCCACACCTGCCGTGGCAGAGACCCCAGACATCAAGCTCTTCGGGAAATGGAGCACTGATGATGTGCAAATCAACGATATTTCTCTGCAGGTAAAGGAACTCGGTGGTCTTCTTGGCTTTGGGTTGGGAGCAGATGTGGAGTCTTCCAGTTCAGAAAAAGACGTGACACCTAGGTTGAAATCAGTTTATGTTTACAATTAGGTAGAAGAACAATAAGTGAACGGCCACATATATGCCTTATTATAACCTGTACCACCAGTTGTTACAATGTGTTGCAATTTTCTTTATTTCTTTTTTTATTTCCAAGTCCATTGGCTTTTGAGACAGGGTCTCGGGTATGTGGCCCTGGCTGGCTTGGAACCCTTAAAGATCTTCCTGCCTCTTCCCCAAGTGCTGTGACTAAAGGCATGTGTCACTACATCTGGCTTGGTATCATTTTGCATTTATACATTCAGTTGGCAGGTATCCTCTGTTGAAAAAAACCACTTTTAACCAACTGAACAGTGTTGGCATCCTTGACAAAGTCAGTTGGTAAGCTGGGTGTGGTGGTGCGTGCCTGTATTGCTGTGCACAGGCTGCAGAAAGAGGATTTTGAGTACCAGGCCAGTTGGAGCTCCATAGTGAGGTGTCCCCTATTCTCCCCTCCCCCAAAATATCAGTTGGCTTACGGGTGTGTGGGTATTATTTAGTGCGGTGTTAGTAGAGGTGCGAATTTAGTTGTGCTGTTGAGACAGTCTCATTGTTCAGGCTGGCCTGAAAGCCCTCATCTGCCTACATGCAGCGATTTAAGGTATATACCACCACACCCAGTTTTACACACTGCTGGAAATTGAACCCAGGGTTTTGTGCGTGCAAGTCAAGCCCTCTACTGACTTCAGGTACATCCTTAGGCCCAATTGTCCCTTTTGTTAACTTCTAAAGATGCCACAGAATGAGGCTGTGTGGTGGCTCTGCTTGTAAAGACAGTTACTGCTAAGCCTAACAACATAGGCTTAACCCTTGGAGTCCACAGGCAGAGGAGAGAACTGACAGCTGTAAATTGTCCTCCAGCTTTCACAAACAGCATGGACAAACTAAAGGAGAAACGTACACAATAGAACCCAGGCATTATATCTAAAGCGTATTCAGGCTTGTTGGTGGGTCTTTGTGAGTTTGTTTGGGGAGGTCTGCAATCTTATATTTGCTATGCTGTTGGGGATTGAACTCCGGGAGTTTTCACATGCTGGGCCAACTACCACCCAACTGCAGTGTGTGTCTACCCAAGAACTGCTTAGGTAAGAGGTGAAATTGTAAATGTATTTTGATTCACAGGTCACATTGAATCTCAATTTTTTGTTTTGTTTTGTTTTTGAAAGAGAAACACAGTCTTACTATGTAGTTGTTGCCTGGAATTCCCCATGTGGCCCAGAATAATCTACCAAGTGCTGGTGTGCTGTCAGGTGTCATAGTGCACAGGACAGCCTTCCCCTCGCTCAGGGTGTTTGCTCCAGAGTATCAAAATTACCTCAAGCCCGTGGCACATGCCTTTTAAAGCCCAACACTCAGGAGGATCTTGACCTACATAGTGGATTTCAGGCCATCTAGGGCTACACAGACTATGTCTCCAAAAAAGAGGGGTGGGATGCTTTTGTTTGTTTTGGATAAAATGCCCATAAGTGATTCTATTTTCTGTATCTTAGTGTTTTGTCTGAGGGAGTCAGATCTGCTGGAGTTACAGTTGTGAGCTGTCATGTGTGTGCTGAGAATTGACCTTGGATTCTTTAGAAGAGCAACCAATACTTTTAAATGCTGAGACATCTCCCCAGCCTCCATAATATGCAAAACTTAAATTCCTTTAAAAGTACCTTCCCTCTTTTTTGAGGCAAGGTTCACGATGTAAGCTGGTTTTGAACTGCTAGGGATCCTCTTTGCTCCTGAATGTTGGGATGTAGAGGTGTGTGCCCAGTGGGGCAGCACTCTTCCCTTTTTGTGTGTGTGACTTAATCAGTCACTTGTTTGTTTTTTTTGCTCAAGGCTCACATTCCCAACCTGCTAGGGGAAGGCCATGCCTTGAGCCACTTCTCAGTCTCCTTTGATGCCCATCTGGGGGCTGGTCCCACCGCTGACTGTCCCTTCATCCTTTGCCACACAGGATTACATTGCTGTGAAGGAGAAGTATGCCAAGTACCTGCCCCACAGTGCCGGGCGGTATGCCGCCAAGCGCTTCCGCAAAGCCCAGTGCCCCATTGTGGAGCGCCTTACTAACTCCATGATGATGCACGGCCGCAACAACGGCAAGAAGCTCATGACTGTACGAATTGTGAAGCATGCCTTTGAGATCATCCACCTGCTCACTGGTGAGGTAAGACTGCCCTTGATTCATGCAAAACTTCACGGTACACATGCCCGATTCATCACCTATGACACTGCCGCCTTGTTTTGGGGGAAGTTGGGAATGGATGGCAGACTCATGGCCCCCCTTTCTGGCAGAACCCTCTGCAGGTCCTGGTGAATGCCATCATCAACAGTGGCCCCCGGGAAGACTCAACACGCATTGGGCGAGCCGGGACAGTGAGACGGCAGGCTGTGGATGTGTCGCCACTGCGCAGAGTGAATCAGGTGTGTCGGAGGCTTGTGAAGGGCTGGGGCAGGAACCACCAGCATGAGTGGGTGGAGTTCTCTCTTGAATGTTTTACCCAGAGCCTCACTTCCTCCAGGAAACCTTCCTGTATTTCTGCCCTGTAATGGGGCAGGTGGAGCCCCAGCCTTCCTAGGTCTGGTTCATCTCGTTGCTAGTCTATATAGTTTAACATGAGGTTTAGGTTTGTGGGGTTTTTTTTATAACCTTGATCCATTTCATTTATAAGCCTGTTGAGCAGTTGCACATTTCTGTAGTTACAGCTACTTGAGAGGACGGGATTGATTGCTTGATGCCTGAGCACCATGAAGTCAAGAGCATCTCACACTTTGCTGCCAGTTCTTAAGCCTCTTAGTAAGGGCCATGTTTTCTTTGCCCTCTGTGTGATCAGCATCTGGTAGAATGTCTGCTTCCTCGTATCTCATATCTGGGTGACAGCATATAGTGAAAGGCTAGCATCTGTACAGCTGGGTCCCAGATCATTGAGAGGACCTGGACCCTCTTGTGACCTGAGCCCTGCCTGTCTTTTCTAGGCCATCTGGCTGCTGTGCACAGGAGCTCGTGAGGCTGCTTTCCGCAACATCAAGACCATTGCTGAGTGCCTTGCAGATGAGCTCATCAATGCTGCCAAGGTGGGTTAGGGCACACGGGGTGGGTTGGACATCTGGGTGTTTGTCCACAATTCAGAGCTAACCACCTGTCCTTTGCAGGGCTCCTCCAACTCCTATGCCATCAAGAAGAAGGATGAACTGGAGCGTGTGGCCAAGTCTAACCGCTGATTTCCCAGCTGCTGCCTAATAAACTGTGTGCCCTTTGGGAAAGTTTCACCTGCCTGTGTGCTTGTCTGTCATTGAGGGGGTAGAGTGGGTGGCCTCCCATGGCCATAAGGGATACTCACCTTCCTGGTATTGTGTTTACCTGTGGAAATCTGATTTCCCTAGCTCTCAGGACTACTGCTGGTCACAGGGTGTAAGCCCAGTGCTGAGACCCAGCAAGTACTGGGGGTGCATGGGGCCCATTGCTCCTACCTTCAGTCTGACAGGTGTTAGTTTGATGGGTTGTGTTTCAGATGGCCCGTGTGTCTGGTCAAGGTATGATGGATCTAGTTTGCTCCGGCTTCACTTATCCCTGGTAGCCCAACTGCGGAGGCTTGGCAGAGAGGCTACCCCTGCATCCAGTATAGATCAGATTTGTTCATCCTAGTAGGAGGAGCCTGGTGGTGGGGTTAGCAGCCAGACAGGTTTGACAAGTACGTGGGAACCAGGAGAGGGCTGGTCCAAGGTCAGGTGGCCTCCAGGGAGGGGCATTTGACTAGCTACTAGCAGACAAGCCAGAATTGGGGTCAGAACAGGAGGGACTTGCTAGGATACTCCACAGGGACGGGCATCAACAGGTAGGTGTCCTGTATACTGGCCAGCATTTCTGACGGTGTTTGGTCTCACTCTGGGTTTCTTACTTTGCTTCTCAGTTATTAGGTACCTCTTACAGTTGTGAAATCTGGTGGTCCTCAACCTTAGCGTTGGGATCCTTTAATTTTGATATTGTTAAGAGCTGTAAATCTCTTCCTGTGGTCTTTGGTAACCCTTGTTAATGGGATGCGACCCACAGGTTGAGAACCACTTCCCTGGAGTCTTAACTTGTTTCCTGTGGTACTATTCTGGTTTGGTTTGGTGTAGCGTCTCCCTTAAGGACATGGCTCCTCCAAAACATTAAAACTGCTTCAGTTGGTTAACCTAGTTTGTCTATAGACTTTTGGTGACAGTGGATCCAACCAAGGACTCCTCTTCTGCCTCCTTGAACCTACTCTTACGACTTTATTCTCCCTGCTTTTCCCTGAAATCTTGTCAACCGACCACAGCCTCCAGATCCCTACCTGAGCTCCTCTCCCCATAGGTACAATCTGGATGCCTTGTCCTCGGCCGCCCTGGCTCCGCCGCCATCGAGCCTCCCAGGGCTCGAGCCCGGGTTCCCCAGGTACCTTGTCTGCACCCACGTCCCCTAGCAGAGGTGAAGAAGAGGACGCAGAAGAGGAGGGCGATGGCACCCCAGCCGACAGCCCCATCCTGCCCCCCGCATCTCCCATGGAGTGCCTTATCTGTGTGTCACCCTTCGACGGCATTTTTAAACTGCCAAAACGCCTGGACTGCGGCCACGTCTTCTGTCTTGAGTGCCTGGCACGCCTGTCGCTGGCTACGGCGGGTGGCGGAGATGCAGTGGCTTGCCCCATGTGCCGTGCGCCCACACGCTTGGCCCCGCGCCGGGGGCTTCCCGCTCTACCCACGCAGCCAGGTCTGCTGCCTCGCGACGCACGCGCGCAACCACTACGCCAGGGCTCCGTGCGCTTCGATCGCCGCCGTGGGCTCCTGTACCTGCGGCCACCGCCGCCCTCTCCTGGGCCACGCAAGAGCCGCACCGTGCGTGCCCCGCCGCCCCCACCCCCACTGCGCCTTGGCCGCCCGCTGTCTCGTCGCCTATCCCTGAGCAGCCCCACGTGGGCCTTCAACGCGGCAGTGGCGCTGGCTGTGCTGGTGGCCGCAGGCCTTGTTGTCTCTGGTGTCTACATCTTCTTCCTCATCCCTCATGTCACCACCTCCGGTCTTGTACGGCCTCAGGTCGTAGCTCTGGGCCCTGATCCTAGCTTCTGGCAACCACCACGTCCCACGCCAATGCCAATAACACCCTGGACCCACATCTGGATACCGCGCCCCACAAAGCCTGACCTGGACCCGGATGATACTCTGCCAGAGGCTACCAAGGACACGCCAGAGCTTGAGGAAGCTGCCAAGGACCCAGTAGAGTGGCAGGGGGCCCTGGATACACCTCCCACACCACCTCAGCAAACAGAAGACACTCCGAAGACAGAGAGTGACCTTGGCTGGAACCTGCAGGCTCAGGATGATGGGAAAATGGTGTAACTACAGTAATAAATGCCTCAGTGCTCCAGGCCCAGGCTCCCTGCCTGAAGATATCTGTGTCATCCCGGAGGGCATTAACAGAAATCTCCAGATTGGGGACTGGAAAGTTCTCTCAAACTACTGTAATCATTCTACAAGAATCCGCTGAGAATGTCTCTGATTCCCCTGGCCAATGACGGTTACTTGTGAACCACATCCCTGTGCAGGTCTAGTTGGGGTACCCCTGATTCTCGTCTCTGTGGAAGTCCAGGTGGCCTCTCCCCTAATGACAGGGCCGTGTCAGGGCACCTTAGCCTTCACCTTGACAAGATGCTGTTAGAAGCCTGCTGAGGGAGACACATTTCTGGTCAGCCTGGGGATGAAGGATCTGGCCCACTCGTCCTTTGGACTCACCACAGTGGGGCCGGGGCTCCCATCTTTGGAATACAAAACTGTTTACTGTTCTGATTGTGCACCTCGCTGCCCACAGCCAGTCTATAAATTTCAGTACCTGCGCACTTGATCAGGACTGTGACTTGGAGGGACTGGGTGGCCTGGCTAGGGCTAGGGATGGCTGTGACTTCTGAAAACTGCTTCCCATTTGGGAAGTAAAACCCAAACTGGTCTGGGAGTCTCGATGTCTCCACCAGACTTTGGTTTCTGGGACCTAATACCTTGTGGAACAGTTGTCATCATGACTTGGAGAGCCAAGGCCTCCCTGTGGCTCAGACAGAAACATTCAGAGCGGGAGGTCCTGGTCCTTCCTAGATAATATGAGAGATTGCTGGTCCTGTCCTCGCTTGAATCCTTATATCCCCCATTTTCCCCCTTCTCCGGGGCTCCTCCAGCTCTGCCCAGGCTTCCCTCTGTGCCTCGGCTGAAGTCGAAGCCTTTCCAGTGTCTATGGAAGGTGGCTCCTGTCTTTCCAAAAGACTCTTGGCTTAGACACAGAGTAGAAGGAAGACAACTATTCTCTGCATAGGCTGACTATAGACCCCTGAAACCCTGTGTCCTGCCTTACCTCACCTGACATGAGACGATGTGTGTTAAGGGTGATCAGCATTTTCCAGAATGAAGTGTGACTTCTGTGTATCTGGAGGCTCTGTGTGGTTTATTTACATGTGTGTCCCCGGCACTAGGCATCGGCTTATACAGAACGCTTGCCCGGGAAGTGACAACATCAGGGATGACCGAGAGGCAGCCTGGGAATGCCCATGGGCACTGTAGGCTTGCAGGCTCCCAGCTGACAGGGGCCCTAGCATGCCTGTGGGAGCAACTCAGCGACTGCTTCCAGATAGGGAGTCAGAGGAAGAACATCAGGGAGCCTGAGGGTGTGTCTTCCCAGACCAGTTCTTGGCTCACACCTGGTGCCAACGTCACCTACAGGGACTGGGATCAATGCAGTGGGTCACTGGGAACCACTGCTCAGCTTTACAGGCTGGTCCAGTGGGGATAGAGTGGCTGTTCTGCTTTAGTTTCCTCTGGCTACTGTAAAATTTACCCCTAACACCATGTCTTAGAACCACACACATTACCTCACAGTTCTGCGTCCAGAAGCCTAAGACCTTGTCATGGGGCCAAAACTGAAGTGCCGAACTGAGTGTGGCGGCACAAAACTATAATCCCAGCATCTGGGGTGTGGCGGCAGGAAGAACAATAATTCAAGACCACCCTTAGCTATGCAGAGAATTTGAGGCCAGCCCAGTTATGTGAGATTCTGTCGCAAAATAAAAATTAATAATCAATCAATAAACTTGGGGAGCCGACAGTCTCAGGTCCTTCTGAAGACTCTGAATCTATTTCCTTAGATTTCCAGCTATTAGAATTGCCTTCCTTGGTCTGTGGTTTCCTCAGAGTCAGCAATACAACATCTATAAATTTCTCTGATCCGCTAGCTATCTTCTTTCACTTATCAGGATATTAGGAGCAAGTAGGGTGGTGTTGGCGCACACCTTTAATCCCAGCACTCGGGAGGCAGAGGCAGCCAGATCTCTGAGTTTCAGGCCAGCCTGGTCTACAGAGTGAGTTCCAGGACAGCCAAAGCTATACACAGGGAAACCCTGTTTCAAAAAAAAAAAAAAAATGTAGGAGCACACTGGACCCACCTAGCCAGATAATGCAAGACAATTCAAGTGTGTGTGTCTGTCTGTCTGTCTGTCTGTCTGTCTGTCCTGGAACTCTCACTCTATAGACCAGGTTGGCCTCTAACTCACAGAAATCCACCTGCCTATGCCTCCCAAGTGTTGGGTTAAAGGCATGTGCCACCACCACCCATCCTGAATTTTTAAAAATTGTTATTATTGATTTATGTGTATGCATATGTGTCTGTGTATGTGCCCAATAAGGTGAGAGAAGTCAGCTCCCTGAAGCTAGAGTTTCAGGCAGTTGTGAGCTGCCTGATGTGGGTGCTGGGAATGGAACTTGGGTCCTCTGCAAGAACAATATGTGCTCTTAACCATTGAGCCATTTCTCCAGTCTCTGAAAAATATATTTTAGAGACAGGGATTCTCTGTGTAACCCTGGTTATTCTAGAACTCTGTAGCCCAGGCTGACCTTGAGATCCACCTGCCTCTGCCCTCTAAGTGCTGGGATTACAGGCGTGCACTACCACCGCCCAGCTTCTGAATTTTTATTCTAAAGACAGTTTTTCACTGAGTTTTCCAGACTGGCCTTGTTGAACTGAAAGTCCTTCCCTTCACGCCTCAGCCTTTTGAGCAGCTTGGGTTACAGGCCGGTGCCTCCAGTCACAGCCTCCCATTTTCAGATCCTTCATCACAGGCTCAAAGTCTCTTCTGTCACATAAGGTATAGTCCAGGGATTAAGATGTGAACGTTTTTGGAAACCACTATTCGGCCCACTGAGTGGGGAGTGGGGTCTCAGAGATAGGCCGCCCTCAGCCCTTTCTTCCTCCATCCAACCCTGGATGAGTAGGGGTAGGCAAGAGTAGACTTGGTCCGGATGGGTCAGAAGGGGTCTTCGGATGGCAATGCACCGGGGAGGGAGAGAAGAGTCTCAGCCTAATGGTGGTCCATGAAAGCTGCTTTAACGAAGAGACCCGGGGCTGGCTCAGAGATGGTTCAGCAGTTAAGAGTACTGGCTGCTCTTCTAGAAGTCCCGAGTTCAATTTCCACCAACCCCATGGTGGCTCACGATGATTATTGTAGGAATGTAAGACTTTAAGACAATCCTGAAGCCATTTTTGACAATTCTGAATCCTCTCAGCCTCTGTGCCATAGTGCTTCCCCTCCTCCCCTGGGAACCAAGGACCTAACAGCTACACTCGCACGTACTCAGTTCCTGAACAATTACCCATTTACGTATGCTTTGGTTCGGTCCCCTGGGAAACGGGGTCAAAATGACCTCTTACCTCATCTGATCTGGCAACAGCTCTCCAGTCAATTATTGGTAATAGCCCTTTCAAATAAGCCAATCAGAATAGTCAAAGAACAACCCCCCTTGCTTCTGTGGCCCCTTTAAAAGTAGACTGTTCCCGCTATTCGAGGTCCCTTGGCTTCCCGAATGCTGGGGGACCCTGTCATGACAGAATTAATAAAATCCTCATGCTTTTGCATCGGCTGTGGTGTGTGGTCTCTGGGGGCGACTCTTTCTCGGTGTTTGGACGCCAGAGTCCAACAGGATCTGATGCCCTCTTCTGGCATGCAGGCAAATATATATGGACAGAGCACTCATAAATCAAATACATAAAAATCTTTAATTTTTTTTTTTTAAAGAGAGGGACCCAACAGGTGGATCTGCATTTGCGTTTAGGAGCTAGGGTAGCCTATGCAAAGACGAGTGAAGGCTGGGTAGAAGCTGAGGGCCCTTCATTTCCAGTCCTATTCTACTGCCTCTTAAATGCTACTGCAGCATCTTCACCATATTCATCCCAGAGCTTGAAACCTGTGGTCATCTCTCCTCCGCTAAGAGGAGGAAGGAGTCAGAGCCCAGAGGTTGCGCAGCATCTGCTAAGTACTATCTCGGTGCCTCCCTACCTACTACTGCCTACACGGGGGTTAGGAAACCTCACAGTATGCCAAGCAAGGTGTCCAATGCCTTTACTCAGGAGACAGAGGCAGAGGAAGGTGAGTTCAAAGGTTCAAAGTCAGCCTAGTGTACATAGAGAGTTGCAGGATAGCCAGGAGAACATAGAGACCTTGTCTCCAAAAAAAAAAAAAGGAAGTCCACAAAACAGAATAATGGGATTTAATTCTCTGGAGATGGAGGAGTCCCAACCCATCTCCTTTTAAAATAAATAAATATATATTTAATATATATTTATGATGTGTGTGTGTGTGTGCGCGCGCGCGCGCACCATGGCATGTATGTGGAGGTCATAAACCAACTTGCAGGAGTCATTTTCCCTTTCTACCATGTGAGCTCTAAGGACTGAATTTAGGCTACAGCTTTTACCTACTGAGCCACTGCACCAGCCCAGTCCTTCTCCTGAGCCCTGGACCTCTGTCACCCACACCGAGCTGGCAGATACCCACTCTCATCCACTTTATTCCAGAATTGTTCCTCCTCCTAGGTCACGGCGCCTTGGATCCCAGAAGGTGGGGGAAACTTCGGTGTCTCCCAAGTATGCCCTTGGGTCTTCTATAAAATGGGTGACAAAAAGGCACTTGCAGGGAATTCATTCACCTGTATTTCCTGAGCTCTTTTAGTGTACCAGAGGCAGCATCGGGACATCTTGGGAACAAGGCCAGACCTCAAGAGGCAGAAGAGAGGTCTAAGCAGACAGATCTATCATTCTGACCACAGTGTCTCAAGGTTTTTCTTTGGTTTTGTTTTTGTCTTTTTGCCTTCCAAGTGCTGGGATAATAAAAGGCATTCACCACCATGTCTGGCCAATGCCTCAGCTATTAAGATCATGGGGTCCCCAGTTCCCAAGACCTTTCCCAAGCCCTGCCACCAGTTCTCTTCTCCTGAAGACAGGGGAGGGACACAAGGGACTCCATTCTACCACGCGGTTCCAGACTTTCTCAAGGATGGTCAAGCCGGGTGGTGGTGGCGCACGCCTTTAATCCCAGCACTCAGGAGGCAGAGGCAGGCAGATCTCTGGGAGTTTGAGGCAGCCTGGTCTACAAGTGCTAGTTCTGGGACAGGCACCAAAGCTACAGAGAAACCCTGTCTCGAAAAACAAAAAACAAAAAACAAAAAAAAAAAAAAAGGGATGGTCATAAAGATCCCCTGCTATTGTATGGGTCCTCTTGTGATTAAGGCCAAGATAGGGCCTCGCTGAACCTTTAAGAACTCAAAACTGGTGTTGCTATACTATGTTGGACACCACTGAGGAGCTAGGCATTTATTCCTCACTGTAATAATAATTATATTATTATTATATAATTAATATAATAATTGGTCATAGCTAAACCTGATGACCAATTAGGAACTTGGGAGCAGTGTTGCCATGACAACCCGGAGACCATTGACGGCTGGTCCCTGGATTTGTGGGGTTTGAGGTTTCCAGACCCCAGAAGAAGCAGAGGTGAACAACAGGTCAAAATGATAGTCATCATGTGCTTGTTCAGCCTTCTGCGGTCCTCGAGGCGGAGGGCTAATACACTGGAGCGGTTTGTTTGAACATGGAACAAATGATTATGGATACAATTCTAACACTTTTGGAGACAGAGTGACCGGACCATGCGGAAATTTCAATGCCAGGATCTATCGTGCAGACTGGGTGACTCACTGTACCTGCCACCTACATCACTGAGTCCTCAGGTCACTGAAGTCAGCTGGGTCCTGTGTAGTACAGTCCAGTAAAGGGTTAACTTTGCATTCCCGGATTGCTCAAACCCTGCACATTCCAGAGAGGCCTGGCCCTTCCTTCCCTTGATTCAGGGAGATCACCTCAAAGCCTTGGAATAGCCTGCCTACTGAGCCTTGGCCACACTATCAAATTGATCTCTGGGCAGCTGGAGAGTAAGTGCAGGGAGGGGCTGCTAGGTATTTCTGTTACTGTTTCCAGGAGAAAACCCTGGATGTCGACAAGACTAGAGTGAGGGCCCCTTGTGGGCAACTGTGGTGTAAACGTTTCCTGGGGAAAAAAAAAAAGTCTCTTCACTCCAGATAGAGTACCCATGAGAGTCCAGTGAAATTATTCCAGGGCTTTCAAGATGTCTCAGCACGAAAAGCAAGTTGATGCCAAGCCTGGTGACCTGTGTTCAAACTCTGGAAACCACATGATGTAAATTGTTTTTTTTCCAGGCAGTACCCTGGATTCAGAATTATTTATTTTTATTTTTCATTGGAGATTTATTTTATTTGTGTGTGTGCGTGCGTGTGTGTGTGTGTGTGTGTGTGTGTGTGTGTGAAAAAGGCAGATCTCTGAGTTCGTGGATAGCCTGGTCTACAGAACCAGTTCTGGGACAGCCAAACTACAAAGAAAAACCAACCAACAACCAACAAGGGTGGTGATGGTACACACCTTTAATCCGAGCACTAGGGAGGCAGAGGCAGGACAATCTCTGTGTGTTCAAGGCCAGCAGCCTGGTCTACAAGAGCTAGTTCCAGGACAGGCTCTAAAGCTACAGAGAAACCCTGTCTTGGAAGAGAGAGAGAGAGAATATGTAGGTGCTTGTAATAGGTGCTTGTGACTTCAAGGAAGCATGATATAAGTGGGACATGTGACGAGACTCTTCGAACATGGGTGTGGTCCTCTACTTGC